CAACATGGTGAAATCCCGTCTCTATTAAAAATATAAAAAATAGCCAGGTGTGGTGGTGGGCACCTGTAATCCTAGCTACTTGGGAGGCTGAAACAGGAAAATCGCTTGAACACAGGAGGTGGAAGTTGCAGTGAGCTGAGATGGTGCCACTGCACTCTACCCTGGGCAACAGAGCAAGACTCTCTGTCTCAAAATTAAAAAATAGAGTCAGGCATGGAGGCTTATGCCTATAATCACAGCAGTTTGGGAGACTGAGGCGGGTGGATCACTTGAGGTCAGGAGTTCGAGACCAGCCTGGCCAACATGATGAAAACCCGTCCCTACTAAAAATACAAAAAATTAGCCAGGTGTGGTGGTGCATGCCTGTAATCCCAGCTACTTGGGAGGCTGAGGCAGGAAAAATGCTTGACTCAGGAGGTGGCGGTTGCCGTGAGCCAAGATTGTGCCACTTCTCCAGCCTGGGTGACAGAGTGAGACTCCATCTCAAAAATAAAATAAAATAAAAATAAAGTAAAATAAGAGTAACATTTTCTCACCTTGCCATGAGTCTGGGTAGGCAACACACACATATACACACTCATGACTGACATTCAGTGGGTGCAGCAACATGAATGGAACTGGAGGCCATTGTCTTAAGTCAAACAAAGACACAGAAAGACAAAGACTGCATGTTCTCACTCATGAGTGGGAGCTAAATAGCGTGTATGCCTGGATGTAGAGAGTGGGATGATGGCCCATGGTGACTCGGAAGGGTGTGGGGGGTGGTGATGGGAAATTGCTTAATGGATACAACGTGCACTATTCAGATAATAATACCATAAAAACCCTGACTTCACCACTGTGCAATCCATGCAGGTAACCAATTGCACTTGTACCCCATAAATGTATACAAATAAAAATTAAAATAAAATTCACTGGGGACCAAACCATCTATGATTTATCTGTCTCTTTCCCAGAGCTCCCATCACAGAGCCTGGGATGCAGAAGAAGTTTGATACATGTCTGTTGAGTCACTAAATAAATGAATGGGAAGTAAATGAATAACCAATAAAGAGGGTCACTCGCATCAGGCGCTATGGGAACACAAGAGTGGGTGAGCAACGAGCCTGGGGGCTCATGAAGGTGGGAAGAAGCCCAGAGGACACCATAGGGCAGGGGTGGGAGTGGGTTCGGCAGGAGCCAAGGGGAGGGAGTCCCAGACCTCCCATTCCCCTCTCCCCTTCTCTCCTACCCACGACAGCCAGAGACGGGGGGCACGGCCAGTAGTCAGTTTCGATTTTGGCTGGCTGGTTGGGGTCCGGGGGCTGGGCTGCAGGGAACTTGGATGACTCGATGATGAGATCCTCGATGAGGTGCTTGGTCTGAGGGCTGCCTCCCACGGACTCTGCAGACAAAGACCAGGGTCAGCCAGGTGTGCCCTGCCCGAGGCCAACTTGGCTACCCTCACCCCTCCCTCTTCACACCTGTGAGGTCCTGCAGGTAAAAGCAGTGTACACACTGAGCACAGGGCACACGTGCTGCCGTGACGTGCTATCCTCCGGTCCCCCTCCAGCCAGCCCCCAGCCCCAGGGCACGGCCTCCCAGCAAGCAGCCGGAAGTGGGCTCTGGTGAGCCAGGGGCACCCTCACCTCTCTGCTTATAGATGGGTGGCTTCTTGTAGATGTTGGAATCTGGGCGGGAGGTCTCTGTGGGAGGAAGAAGAGATGAGGAGGAGGACATGCTGATGGCAGGGAGGCTGGGGCCAGGAGAATGGAGACGATGGACAAGGTGGGGAACTCATGGCCCC